AAAAAAAAAAAAAAAAAAAAAAAAAAAAAAAAAAAAAAAAAAAAAAAGACTCTTCCCTGAGTTAGGAGACCTGGGTTCTATCTGCCCCAGCTCAGCCACTAACTTGCTGCATTTACAATGGATAACTCACTTGTTGCGAGTTCTCAGCCTCCTCATCTGTTAAATGAAGGGGTAGGAGAGGAATGTTGCCAAAGTTCCTCCCAGCTCTGAATGTCAAGAGTGGCATTTGTGCATGAGAATGTATTCTTGGAGTTTTAACAGTATTTCCATTTACTAAGGGAAGCACAGCATGAAGAAATGAGGGCTTGAATAATACTGAGTTCAACTAGACATAAATAGAAACTTCCTGACTACCAGGGCAACCACATTTTACACCAACTATCTTAGAGAAGGTTGGGTGAATCAGATTTGGTCCCCATACTTTAGACAGATTCAAAAACACAGTCACATATAATTAGAGAAACTTATTGGAAGGGACTTTGGATAGAGGTCATCTAGTTTAACCCATCTCTGCTCAGGAATCTCATCTACAATATCCCCCACAAATGGCCAACCAGCCTCAGCGTGAAGACCGTTAGTGATAGGCAACATGGCACAACACTCAGAGACAATCCAGCATGGTTTTGGACAGTTCTAATTCTATTCTAATTCAGTAGGGGGGAGATGAAAGAGGAAGGCACTGGGGATCAGGAGACCTTGGTTTGAACCATGACTTTGCTGCTAACTACCCACATGACCTAGGGCAAGCTTTATAACCTCAATGCACCTTAGTTTCCACATCTGTAAAATAAAGAGGGCTTAACTAACTTCCTTTCCTGTTTGTAATTCCATTATTCTTACATGAAGCCAAAATCTGCCACTCAAACATTTACTAGCTGCTTCTGGATGTGCCCTGTAGGGCTAAACAGAACAAATTCAAACCCTCTTCCAAAGGCCAGGCCTTCAAATACTGAAATGCAGGTACTATTTTTCTTCCTGAGTATTTTCTTCTGCAGGTTAAACGGTCCCAGTTTCTTCAGCTCATCTTTGTATGGCAGAGTAATCCTAATCATCCTGGTCTCCTGTCAATGTCGATCTTAAAATGTGGCACCCAAAACTGAACACAATAATGCGGATGTGGTCTGAACAGGGCAGAGGACAGCAGAATCGTTACTTCTCTTATTCTAGACACCTTTTAATTCTATACACTTTTTAATGCAGCTAAGACTGTGTTAGCTTTTTTGGCTGCCAAGTTGTTATTATTATTACTATATCATAGTTTTAGACTCAGGAGAGACCTTAGAGATCATATGGTCCAATTTTACAAATGAGGAAACTGACACACAGAGAAACTAAGCAACTCGTTCAAAGTCAAGTAAGTGGTAACTGGCAGAATTGGGGCTTGAATCCTGGTCCTCTTCAAATCCAGCCTCCTTTCTATGGCACTCCACCCGCTCTTCTGCTGGAACATTTTCAAGCCCCTACCCCCACTCTCTATTAAATTTTTATATTCAAATGACAAGTAGGTGGATTTTTTTAAAAAAAACCTAGGAAGACTTACATGAACTGATACAAAGTGAAGTGAGCAGAACCAGAACACTGTACACAATAACAGCAACATTGTGCACTGATCAACTATGAATAACTTAGTGCTCCTCAGCAATACAATGATCCAAGACAATTCCAAAGGCCTCATGATGGAAAATGCCATCCATATCCAGGGAAAGAACTGATAGAGTCTGAATGCAGATCCAAGCATACTATTTTCACTTTCTTTATTTTTGTTTTTGTTTTTCTTTTGGTTGGTTTCTTCTCTCACAACATGATTAATATAGAAATACGTCTATATGATTTGCACACATATACCCTATATCAAATTGCTTAAGGAGAAGGTAGGGAGAATATTTGGAACTCAAAATTTTAAAAACATGAATGTTAAATATTGTCATTACATGTAATTGGAAAAAAGTACTTGTTAAAAAAACTTTTTTTGTATTCAAGCACAGCACCGTACATTTATCTTTATCAAATTTCATCTCATTAGATTTGTCCCATTGTCCTAGTCTGCAGTATCCTTTTGGAACTTGACTTTTGTCCTAGAGGTTTGGAACCCTTCCAAGTTTTGTGTCATTTCCAAATGTGCAATTCAACATAGAAGACTCTTTAAGGTTTGTTACACTGACTCTTTCTCTGTAATAATAAATTAGGAAAACACTGATGTGAAGTTCATTCAGCAGTATCCATTTCACTAAGGAGCAGAATTTTCTTGACTTCTTGTATGTGGTAATAGTCAATGTCTTTTTTTTCCCCCCCAAACAGATACTTAGCAGTAAGATACTTTGGTGCACTAATTAATGAATGTAACTTACAGCTCTGATGGCAAGAATGTCCTCCGCAGGAAGCCATTTCAGTATATGAAAGAGGACATCTTCAGGGAGACTCAATAGAGTTAAGACTCGGGGCCTCTTTTTTATTCTTCTTTTTGAAGGAAGACAAAAACACTTGGAGCACCTACAGTGAATCACTGGGGAAAAAAAATGCCAAAATTCAGTGAATGATAAAGTAAAAAACAAGTCACAGTGAAACATATTTTAAGGAAAGATAGAAATTGAAATCTCAGAATGTCGAAATAAAGGACAAGTGTTTAAGGAAATTTGCCTCTCTAAAATATAGCTGAGAACAAGTTCATGAAAAGGCCTCTGAACCATCAAAATAGAAGCCAAAAGTCCACGCACCTTACTCATAGGAAAGGCTGTTGTGTGCCCACTGAGCCTGTTTACTCTTTAGACATAATTCTTGTTGTTCAGTTGTGTTCGACTCTCTGTGACCCCATTTGAGGTTTTCTTGGCAAAAATATTGGAGTGGTTTGCCATTTCCTTCTCCAGCTCATTTTACAGATGAGGAAACTGAAGCAAACAGGGTTAAGTGACTTGCCCAGGGTCACACAGCTAATAAGTGTCTGAAGCTGGATTTGAACTCGTCTTCCTGATTCTAGGCCCAGTGTTCTATCCCAGCTGCTAGACACAATTTTAACAAGTTTAATTAACAAGGCCAGAGATCAGAAGGGTATGTGGGTTGCTACAGGTTAGCACAATGATAGTAAGAGTACAGAAAAAAGTCAACAAACTAAAAATACATAGAAACTTGGTGTCACATAAGGGAAAAAAATTCCCATTAATCTCACTGCACTACAGCACAGCAGGTGATGTACTTAGTGATGACCTGGAGTCAAGAAATTGCCTTGTTTAACGATAATCTATTAGCTTTCTACCTCTCTTTTTGCCTTCCCACAGCAAACCTTGCTCTTTAGCAACACTGTGACTTCAGATCCCTTCACCACTCATCTCTCTCCCAGGCTACCTCTTACCTTGCACTAGTCACAATCTCCTTTGTCCCTCATCTGGACTCTTTGGTAAACCAGTTCAACTCTAACTGTCCTCTTTTCTTCAGTTCCTCTCCTCTTTATCATATTGCCAATTGAGCCCTCCCACTACCTACTATTGCCTTTGCTCCTACACACTTGCTGCTGAATAAAGGTGTCTGTCACTCAGATGTCTTCTGCAATGATCTCCTCCTTCATCTCTGTCTCATCCAAAAAGATGTTCCTTCTCTTTGACAAAGCTAACCCCTCTACCTGCATACGGGATCCCATTTCATCCCTTCTTCTCTAACAGATCACCCCACTCTTTCACTTATGTTCAATTTCTCCCAATTTACTAGTTCCTTCCCTACTGCCTACAAACACAACCACATCTCCTTCATCCTCAAAAAACCCACACTTGATTCTTCCATCCCAACTGCTACCTCTTCTGCACTTTGTGGTTAAACCCCTTGAGAAGGCTGTCTACAATTGCTACCTCCACTTCCTCTTTTCTCACTTTCGTCTTAACCTCCTACAATCTGGCTTCCAAATTCTTCATTCCACTGAAACCACTCTCTCCAGTCATCAAAGATCTCCTAATTGCCAAAGCCAATGGCTGCTTCTCAACCCTCAGTCTTCTCTACCTGTCTTCAGTCACTGACACTGCTGATCACCTTCTTCTCTCCAGCTTTTCCTGGCACCACACTCTCTCTCCTGGCTCTCCTCTTACCTATCTGACTACTCTTCCTCAGTCTCCTTTGCTGGATCCTTGTCTAAGTCACATCCACAAACTGTGGGTGTCCCACAGGTCTGTGTCCTGGACCCTCTTCTCTTCTTGTTCTATATTAGTTCATTAGGTGGTCTCATCAGAAGTTAATTATCGTTTCTATACTGATGATTTTTTTTTTTTTGTTTTGTGAGGCAATCGGGTTTAAGTGACTTGCCCAGAGTCACACAGCTAGTGAGTGTTACGTGTCTAAGGCTGGATTTGAACTCAGGTCCTCCTGACTCCAGGGCTGGTGCTCTATCCACTGTGCCACCTAGTTGCCCCTATGCTGATGATTTTCAGCCTTAACCTCTTTGCTGACCTCCAGAACTTAAATCTCCAACTGCCTTTCAGATGTCTCAAACTCGATGTTCAGCAGACATCTTAAACTTGACATGCCTGAAACTGAATTCATTATCTTGACCCACTAAATCCTCCCTACTTTCAAACTTCCCCATTACTGCTGAGGCTATCACCATTCTCCCAGTCTCAAAACCTAGATGCCGTCCTCAGCTCCTCACTCTCATTCCCCGATCTCCTCCCCCACCCCCCCTTCCAATCTGTTGCCAAGGCATGTCAGTTTCACTTCTGTAACTTCTGTAAGGAATATGCCCCCTTCTCTCCTCTGACACGGCTCCCACCTTGGTGCAGGCCCTCATTATCTCATGCCTGGACTACTGCAATAAGCTTCTGGTGGGCCTGCCTGCCCCCAGCTTTTCTCCCTACTCCAGTCCAGCCTTCATTCAGCTGCCAAAGTGATTCTTCTAAATCAACAGTCTGATTGTGACTCCCTCATTATCAAAAGACTCCGGCAGCTCCTTATCACACCTCCAGGATCAAATACAGAATCTTGTTTGGTGTTCAAAGCCCTTTATAACTTAGCTTTCGGCTGCTACCCCCTCTCCAAGTCTTCTTACACCCCTCTACACTGATGCAGTGACACTGGCCTCCTTGATATTCCACCACCAAGACAGCTCCAAGCATTTTCTCTGGCTGTCTCCCTCTCCTGAAATGTTCTCCTTCCTCATCTCTGACATGGCTTCCTTCAAGTCCCAGCAAAAATCCCACCTTTTACAGGAAGCCTTTCCAAATACCTCTTAATTCTAATGCCTTCCCTCTGTTAATTACCTCCTACTTATCCTGTATTTGGCTTGTTTGTACATACAGTATTTGTTACTTGTCTCACACAACAGACTGTGAGCTCCTGGAGGGCAGACTATGTTTTGTCTTTAATTGTATCTCTAGTGCTTAGCACAGTACCTGGCACAGAGTAGGTGCTTGATAGGTGCTCAATGACAAACTGAAGAAAAGGTTAAATATGTTAGCTGAAGGCAATGTGGAGTAGTGGCAGCTGGGTGGCGCAGTGGATAGAGCACCAGCCCTGGATTCAGGAGGACCTGAGTTCAAATCCAGCCTCAGACACATAACACTTACTAGCTGTGTAACCACGGGCAAGTCACTTAACCCCACTGCCTAGCAAAAACAAAAACAAACAAAAAAAAGAGCTGGCCTCAAGGTCAGAAGACTTGAGTTTAAATCCTGTATCTTGGATGTGTGAGTCTGGACAAGCATTCCTCTCCAGCGTTCTAAAAAATTCTCTTAAGTCTATAAATTGTAGAGGTAATACCAATAAGCATTGTTAGAAGGAGTTTCCTATATCAATGAGATTTGCATTTAAAAAAAAAAAGTTTTGGTGTTAAAAGCCACTGGCCCTCTGAGCACTCTTAGGCATCATTCTTTCCTCACAGCCCCTTCCCCCTCTCCCTAGCCCTTATGCCTACTCCTTTTCCCTTTCTTCCTCTCTTTTTTCTTTCTCCCCTGCCTCAGATATAAGCCTGCTCTTAACCCCGCCAGCAAGCTGCTGGCCTTACCTGTGCCATACTGAGCAAATTACTTACCTCAGTTTTTTCAACTGTAAAGAAAGAGTTTTTCAGTTCTAAATTGATGATCCTACGAATTGCTCACTTTTTACAAACAACCCCCCCCCCCTCAAATCGTCAGATAATTCAAACCTGTTCTTTCAATGTAACCTTGAAGCAAAGGCAGCAGGGTTTCCTGAGGACACACTGCTTTATGAGTTAGGTCTGTTACTCAACGAAAATCTACTAGCTAAGAAACCGTGGGGGTACATCCTTTGCTTTTCTTTTCTAATTAGGGCTTTGAAGATTGGGATGCTAGGCACTCATCACCCATTTTGTTCATTTAAAAGGCCTCTCTGAAACGGCACTGAAAGAGCCGCCCACAATAATAGGTAGGCACCTGGACAGAGTGGCAGCCCTTTAAAGAAGCAAGATGCTCGGTGCCCGGATCCAAGGCGGAGTTCGAGAAGGCAGGACGGGACGCGAAGTCGGAGGACTCGAGTTCACGTCCCGATCTTGACCCTACCTACCTAGGAGATGCAGGCGGGGCATTTCACATCTCCGTGCCTCGGTTTCCCCCCCGTGTAAAAGGAGGGGGGAGGGATGGGTTGGGCCACCGCAGAGATCTCTTTCCGGGTGTGTGGGGGTCCTGCAATCTAGGGGATTTCTTGTGCCCGTTACTCGGGAGCGTCGTGAAGGAGGACGCACGGCGTCCACACTAGGCAAGGGGTCGTAGCGAAAAGCGGGCTGCCGAGGACCCCGAGCCCAGGGAGGGTTCCCGCCGGTCCGCAGCGTCCTAGTCCAGCCCCGAGTTTCAAAGGTTCGCTCGGTCACTCACCCCCTCCGCGGACCCTCATAGTTACTGCTGCAGTTATTGCTGCTGCTGCTGCTGCTGCTGCTGCTGCTGCTGCTGCTGCTGCTGCTGCTGCTGCTGCTGCTGC